TCCTGCCCATCTAAAGCAAGCGAAAATATTATACCACATCGTCCTGGAGAGATTAAAAGGTGCTCTGGTTTCAAACTTACTACCGGAACAGTGTGGCTTCAGGAAGTGCAAATCATGTGCGGATCAAATTGCAATCCTAGGCTACGTGTCATAATAGAACAAAGCATAGAATGGCGGTCAGCTCAACCTCATCTATGTTGAAGAGGTGCTCGATAGCGTCGACCGATAAGTAATTTGGGAACTGCTCCAACACTGCGGAATACCACAAACCTTTATCAACCTCATTCAACGGCTATATGCTATATGACGCCACATGCCAAGTGATTCATAATATAAAGCTCAGTGATGTCTTCGAAGTGAAGACAGGAGTAAGATAAGGTTGCCTACTATCTATCACCGACTATCTTCCTGATTGCTGTCGACTGGACTCGACTGAATCATGCAACAAATAGTGAGGAGCGAGAAGAGGGGCATACTCTGGACCGGGGAAAAGAACCTAGAAGATTTCACTGATGACTTATGTCTAATGTCACACAAACCTGAAGATATACAGGCAAAAACTAACAAGTTGGTAGAAGAGATGACGCAGCGAAGACGGGACTTCAAGTGAATATAGAGAAGACAGAGGTAGAGGTGATGAAGATACCCAACCAACACCACCAACAACAACAAGCTCTAATCATTATCAGTGGGAGAAACTTAAAGGAAGTAGTCTATTTCACATATCCAGGCAGCATCGTTTCAACTACGGAAGGTGGTGGCACAGACGAGGATGTCAAAACCAGCCACAATCGCAAAGACAGCAAAACAGGCTTTCATCAATCTGAAATCAGTGTGGAGATCTACTGCACTCAACACAACAAACAAAATCCAGATTTTCAACACCAACGTCAACTCAGTGTTCCTATATGCTTCAGAAACTTGACGCGTCACGATAAGCATTTCCAACAAACTACAGACATTCATCAACAGCTGCCTACGCTGGCTCCATACTGAAGATGGAGATCAGATGGTCAGAATAATATGAGTAAGCAACAAGAAACTCTGAGAACGAAGCAACCAATAACCCATCAGCCAACAAATATGCAGTGGAAGAAGGTGAAGATGGATTGGATTGGGCATACACTGAGAAGGCCTATTGGTGACATCACGTGCCAAGTCAGGCCATCGAGTGGAATCCAAATGGGAAACGACGAGTTGGGCGTCTTATCTGAGGGTGACATGGAGGAGATCTTGTGAGAGAGAAATGAGAGCTTGTGGCAAGACGTGGAGCGAGGTTCAGAAGACTGCAGAGAAGGGAGTCCAGTGTAGGCGTGTTAATGAATCCGTATGTTCCACTAGGAACATATGGGAAAATAATAAGTATAATAATAATGCCTTCACTCTCAGTTACGGCTTAAACGTGAGGACATGAAAATAATGGGTTATATACTTAACTAGCAAGAATTTATTTATTTATAAAACCTTTTGAAAAACCTGTGAAAACTACGCCTGCACATGTTCATAAATATGAAGTGTCTGACGGATACTGAAGCCGAAACTATAAGTTTTCGTTTTGTGATAAGACAATGCTACAATAAAAGTCGTCGGGATACTGATCCTTTTCAAACATTCAAATATTCCCGTTAGATCATAAAAGAATAAAGACTTCAGCAAGAAGACATTTAATCAAGGCGATATTAGCCTCCGCAGCTATACAGTCATGTTTGAATATAGCTCGTGCGCTTTCGAATGTTAATAGTTCAACTAAGCTTTAGGGACGACCAATCTCGTTCAAATATGCACCGACCAATCAGAATCAAGAATATGAAGGACAAAGTGGTTATTAAGGAATACGGTACTGAGAGGAATAAAAGATAAGACTTGAAGACAATCTTGGTAATACGATAAAATAAGCATTACCAAGGTAGGCTTGGAGTAAGGACAAACTGTTTTTGCACACACAATGGGGGGTTAAATTTATTTATGGCTAGCGCCTCAACAAACTTAAGTATACGCCCCTGACAGTTTCGGTACAAAATTGTAAAGGCTGTCTTGATATCAATTCTGTGACTCTTATCAATGATCTGTTTCGCAGTGGATGATGATGGTTGTCTGCCGTCTGCGCTTATCAATGTTTGTGAATCCAGCTGCTTTCGTAGCCACTTTGGAACATGTTCCCCTACCCTGAAGTGCATATCACGATTCGTCCTCCCTATGTATGTTTGTCCACACACACATGTAAATTTATAAACGCAATGGGATGTGACACAATCGTTTATACAGCGTTGAGGTCTAGGTAGCAGCAGGTGTTTGGTCTTCTCAACTATGATAAGCTTAGCTGCATAGTACGTTTTGCTAACAGCAGACCTTAACCTTCGTTTTAATACTATGCTATTAGAATACGGTACTGTCTATAATTTATTTATCTGGTTTACCTGAGAAGAAAATAACATCTAGATTTTAAATCAGTTTATCATCTTCGGAAACATACCATCGTCTTCATTTCTGTTAATCCATATGAGACAATATCATTGAAACGAAATTTGTGAAATTTCCCGATTCGATCCTGTTAAAGATCCCAAGAACTTCCTAAGACGACTCCATATATTTTCAAGGTTGTTTATGTGAACTCCAGTTTTCTGATACACGAAGTCCTTGCTTTTTGTGAACAATAGCTCAAGGGGGGAACCTATTTCAGATGACTTCTAAGCGTTTGTGTATATTGTAATACCCAATAACATGTATTTTCGTAAAACTACAAGCGTAGATTTTTTCGATCTTTCCCTTATCAACCGGAAATATCCTTTGTTTGTATTTCGGTTGTATAAACCAAGAATCTTTGGTTTGCCGAGACATATGTATTTGACTCATCCAGTTGTGTTTCGATCATCTTCCTGGGTCAGTTTCCGGACAGGATATTCATGTATATCTACCACATTACCTTCTACAACAAATTTCATAAACATCCTGTAAAGTAGTCTTCAACATTATTCATTAGAGGTTTATGCAGTATCAACAACACGCTAAACGGAGGTAACGGATAACCTTGAACAAGTCGTCTCAAACCTGATTGGCTATCTTCAAGGTTTCTTGTCACTAAAGTTTAGTTCAATTATCAATAATTGTTAGTGGTATTGTCATACATTCAGTTCCCTTAATAAATTTGAATAAGGCGAGAAAATAGGCATTTGCAGAATAAAATAAGCTTATTTTATTTGACAGCCTTTCATCAGCTGCAAACAGCATACAATTGTAGTGAAATATTGGTAGTAATAATGACATAATATGCATTAATTATGAAGTAGTTTGCTGCTGTGAAAATGATATAGGAATAGAAATTACATTAGAGATTTCAAAGTATTTCACAACGTGAGTAAATCACGAAGATTAAAAGATTAGTTAGGTTTAAGAATTGGAAAGAATAAGAATTAAGAGGTGAATAAGAACAGGGTACGGTCAAGTTGTTTCTGGATATAATACAAGCCCCAGTTTCGATCATCGTACTTCAAAACTTCAGCAATACGTAGTAAATGTTTCCCCACATTTATCAGAGGATTATGTTATACTTTGTAGACTGATGAAAACGAATCTTCCAGAACTGTGCATTCATCTTCAACTAAATATTGTAATATGGGGCTGCGCTGACCTTGACTGACTTATACTGCAACGTCGTACAATCGTTGTATTCACTGTAAAGCTACAAGAAAAGTGAGATCATTAAATTCACAATGAGTAAACACATCAACTTCTGTAGCATTTAAAACCCTTGTAGTGCACCTTCCTGGCACCAAAATATAACTGGGGCTAAAATAAATAGTTTAAATTAAATTAACTAAATAAACCTCTAGCTTGCCTCTGGATGCTTAGGGTGTTTTAAGTTTTGTTTTAACGAGCATGCATCCGAGCAGGCTTGGACGCCATTTTTGCGCTCCATTGTGCTGATCACCACACACGTACTCCGAGTCCCTAGTTCAGCCTTACAAGCCAGATAAGTTGATTAAACTTTTCCCTCATTCATTATTATTACATTTACCTTAAATACATAGCTCCTTTAAATACATTGCGTATCAGTTCTTTTGATTTGTGTTTTGTTATCAGTACTTACACGTTAGGTAAAGTACTGGTTAAGCAGGTACTAGAGCACATCAAGTTAAGTAGGGTTGATCAAACATTACGGAATTGTAACACACGCATCCCTACACCCTTGATGAATGTGGACAAAGCAAGAAGAACGAAGTGTGCTGAATAATATGATATCATCATTTTATTTCATGAATACTGTTCAGCCGCTGCATACAATCTAAAAGTGCAGTGGCACATAAGATATTTATAAATTAGGAAATGAATGATCTTAATTAATCAACGATGACATTGGGTGGCGGTTTGCGCTATATCGTGAGCTAACAGAAGTTCGAAATATGGAGCATTGGATCCTGACCCAGTGGCTCAATGGTAGCACGCAGGCCGTGGAACCTGAAGGTCGCGGGTTCGATCCCTGCTGGTGGGGTCATGGGTGCGCACTGCTGAGGAGTCCCATACTAGGACGAAACAGCTGTCCAGTGCTCCCAGGTTTCCTTTGTTCCTCCAACTGATGTCAGTCTACGATGAATAACAACTTGAGATCTTAATTATTACAGGAAAACCATTGATGATAAGGAAATTAACTGTTCAAGTGGGTAAGAAATGTAAGAAAGAAAAAATAATGACAATTAATCAATAAAAAGCTATTTAAAAGTAGTATTTATCATGGACTGATATCACTTAGGGAAATCATTGGAAACTTGGGCACACTGGACAACTGTTTCATCCTAGTATGAGACTCCTCAGCAGTACGCACCCAGCGCTCCTAGATTTTTAATGGATCCCTAACTAATGTCAATCCAAGATGAATACTATTTCTTAATTATTTTCTGTATTGAATCATATCTATTCATCATGTTGTTTTATTCAACTATTTATGACATGATAAAGGATACTTCAATTCATTTCACTTTCTTTTTGACAAAATGTTTTCTTAGCTGTTTTATGCCATTCTATGGACCACAATGTGAACATAAAGCTCCAAACAGAGATAAACAACTTGAAGTAGATGTACAAAGTAGGTTATAAAAGTAAAACGTTTACTATTTTGTAAAAATAATTTATCAGCAAATTACTATTTATTGTCATTATTGTTGTGGATCGATAAATATCAATAAATAGTAATAATAACTGATACCTTTGGATATTTTATCGTAGAAGACTTAAGTTTAACGTCTTTACATTTGAAAAAACCAGCTACTGTATCCTAGTTTCACTGGGGTTGAGATACATCCAACTGATGAGTCCCAAATGGGACGTCACCAAGATGAATATTGTTGACATTATGTTTACTCCCCAAAAAGATCAAAATAGCAATCTGAGGAAACTTGAGTACTGATTGAGTTGTGAGAGCGGTTGATACTTCCCGGCTGCCCACACCATGGGAGGCTATTTCTTCTGAAGGTACCTGAAAAAGATTTGTGTGGCCGCAGAGGCTATCGAACATCTGCTTGAGGCCTGCCACACGAAGCCTTTTGTGTATGATTATTTTGAACTTTTGTATTTTTGGGGCCGGATGGTCGAAAGAAAAAGACAAATGAACTAACACCACCGGCCCGGCAGACCGTGAGGCATGGTGGATTGTGTTATTTCTGGGGCCGAACTTTTCTAACACCCCCTTCCACTGAGAAGGCAGCATCAGCATGGCACTGCTGGTCATCCAAGGGAAATGCCTTACCGCTTTCACACCCCATCCAGCTAGAAGCAGTACGACTTTGCCCTCAGACCCCATCATAGTGTAGTAATTTACACCACAACGGTAACTGCTTTTCGTCTTACCACTATCTAACAGACCTTTCTGGTATGATTGGACCTAGAGAGAACAAGTGTTCCACCAGCATAACTCGTTGATTTATTGTGATATGCAAGCCCGACCACTACTTCAAGGTAGCAGCTCTCGGTCAGGAAAAAAAGATCAAAAACCCATATCATATCAGAAATCATTCCTAAGCCTATTCTTACTGGTTTTTGTGATAACCACAGTGTTTCGATAAGTTTTATGGAAAGGTTACTGAGCAATGATTTGGTCATTTTGACAAAGTAGGTTACGGTGCAGAGGATGAAAATGTGTTTCACACTAATCTTCACTTTTGATTTTCATATAACAGATTGCAGTTGGCAGAATGATGGAACTGGCTTATGAAAATTCCAAGGTCAGATAACAGATGAATGTTGGCGACTATACTACTGAAAAATATGAGTAATTAAAAACTACTCATACTCATCCTTTTAGTCTCCTCATATAAATCAAAGCGATCTAAACACCAGACAACTGTTTCGTTCATTTGAAACCGATTAAGGCAACGGGTTACTCTGAAAAGTTCAGTTCACATAGCCAATTTTATGAGACCAGCTGAATTTAACTGACTGACTGACTGATTTCAACAGTTGAGCTCTATGTCCTCAACTTCTTTGGGCATAACACTGATAAATGTGACAAATGGTTATCTAGTGCTCATATCAATCATACTCATATTATTCGACAGTATATTTAGCTGGTCCAAGATACTTTTATATCAAGCATCACACTTTGTAATCTTAGCTGCATGTTTTCGAACGAAAACCCTGTTTATTGACACCATTGCTGTGAAAAATATTAAATAATTTAATAATTCCCATTGTAACATGAAGAACAAGATATTCAGAGAAGAGATTCTTCTCAACGAATTTATTTTCAAGCCATACAATCGTATATATCCAGGTAGATAATGCAAACTGATCATTGATATCATTGAATTCAACTCATGATACAATTATTGTTAAACATTGAAAAATAACACTACTAGATATTATTGATTATGCAAATATAATTCCTTCCTTTAAAAATTCAATTTAACAATAAATGTTTTATAGGTAGGTCATCCTTCCTTGTTCATGCCTTCCCCCCCCCCCCACCATCTCCCCTGTCACTACCACGTTATCATCAACTACGAGAAAATTATCAATGTATAGAATACAAACATCCCATCGTTTTTCTAACAAGATAAACAAATCACTTTTTAAATGTTCAATGTTTCAATTTGTTCAATGTACAAACACACAAGCAAGCGTTGTAATCAAATAATTTTCATTTCATTACTTGATGCTTATATAGTAACGTTAGGGTTAGGGGGAGAGAAATGTAAAAGAGAAGAAACAAAAAAAAAGACACAAAAGTCTTCAATCAGTAATCGGAAACTATAAAAATATTTGTAAGGATGGTGACTGAGAACGATTAGTTGTAATTGCCTTTTGTTTATTACACTGAAAACGATCACAAACAGAGGATTATGTTTTTTGAGGCTGGATAATGATTGTAGGTGAGATGAAAACCTGGGTCGATAGGATTCGAACCGACAGCCTATACGTTACTCGTCTGGTAATCTATCTACTGACCTATGAGACTCATAGTTTCACCTGACTACCAGAAGAACTCGTGATACGTAAGTGTGCGTTCATTGTATTCATACTGGCTGATCAGTCAAGTCTTCTTACACCCAATTCAAATCAAGTTGAGAGAAAGAGAGAGAGGGAGCGAGTGAACATCATGATGATCATCAGTTTGACTATCTGAGATAGCAGCCGTAGTTTGGCAGACTCTTATTATTTATGCTGGGTGATGACTGAAAAGCACCGAGCCGATAACAAGGATGCCGTTGAATACAAGAAAGGAATGGGAGGAAGTCCTGCTTGACCTAGGCTTCCTGCTCGTTGCCACTCTTCAGAAAAGCGTATCTGCAGCCTTAATGGGATAGATATGTCCTGTGAGATTTGAACCCACATGAATCAGTGTTGCAGTCAGCCATCTTACCACTGCTGTATTCATGCCGCCACTGACCTCCTGCATGACTTCATTAGATATATTGGTTAGCTACTAGAGGGCAATCAATAGCATGTTGTCAACTCCTGAGTCCTAACTGAATTCCATCGGTTATCGAATAGCTCAATGGTAACATCTCCAACTATAACAATAGGTCACACAGGTTTGAACCTCAGAGAGGACATTAGTTCACATGAGGTAACAGATACATCCTCCTGACGGGTACCGACAAACACGAAACCTAGGTTCAGGCCTTCATGCCGGTTGCCTCTAACCAACCAACCTCCATCAAAGTGCACCGTGATGACAAACCTCCTAGCTCTATGACCATAATCAAAAATGATCGAGGAACATTATCTGAAACATGAGATATATTAGTGCTTTCTTTACATGTCCAGCAGTTTGACCACACAGGAATCCGTCAAATCAGTTTATATGAAACATTCACATAGGTTAATCAAGCCAATGGAATTATACGTTCGAAGAAGAGTGAGGGCAGAAAGGATGCCGAAAAAGAGTCAGATCCACACAACCGCAAGTATGAAGGGTGGGTTTAGTCCAAGTATAGATTGTCTTCATACCAATCCAGTCACTAGTTTTAAAACATATCTTTTGTGGTGAATGAAGAAGGAACTCTGTCATCTGCATTCGTCAGACTATTAGAGGACATCTGTTTCTGAAGTCACTTATGGATATGTTCAACCAATCTCAACTGTATGCCTAAAATTGTTCTTCTCAACATATTTATGTCCACAAATATAAGTAAATTGATGGATGTCATATACTCGATCATATGCTGTTTAGGATTGTGTTGAAGCATGGCTTGTGTCTTCTCCGCTAAGATGAAATTGACCACATAGTATGTTATGATAACAATTGATTTCAGTCTTTTCTTCAAAATTAGGCTGTTTGATTCACCTTTGTGTAGCGATGTGGATTTGACAGTTGTCTTTGGGTCTCAGTAGGAGGTAGTTGGTCTCAATAATGTACCGATTTTACCACTTGTTGATAAATTTTGATAGATATCCATTTCGCACAGAAGTAACATTTATAAGAATACTGTCAGCCTCAATATATTCTATAGTCTCAAAAGTTGGTGAATAGCTGTCGATCAATAAATGATAAATTCAACCAATCAGAGAAGTACAGTCTCAAAGATACCTTTGAATTTGTCAGAAAGAATGAAGATCTGGAAGTAGATAATAAGTTAATGATTTCATGTGACGTTTCATCTCTTTTTACTAACGTTCCTTCAATGGAGATAGTAGACTTTATTTGCAACGAACTCACGAAGCACTGCATGGAAATAGGTATTCCAGTCTTCGCATTGAAAGCACTACTTCTGAGGTGTATGATGAATGCACAATTTCTTTTCAACAATGAACTCTACCGGTAATCTGATGGTGTTGCCATGGGGTCACCCCTTGGCCTGCTCTTAGCAGATTTTTTTCTGGAAAAACTTGAGAATAGTCCAGTGAACGATTAGACTCTAGAGTTATATTGTCGTTACATGGATGATGCTTTTATAGTTCTCAAAAGTGAGACTGATAAGAATGCTGTTCTGAATAAGTTCAATAGTGTTGACCCGGCAACCAACTTCACAATGGAAGGGGAGAAAAATGATAGTATCCCATTTCTTGATGTTCTGTTGGTAAGAAGGTCAGATGGAACCCTGAAGCGAAGTGTTTATAGAAGGTCAATATCAACAGGTCAATATACGCACTTCTTTAGTGCTGTACCCCTCCAATACAAAAGGAACCTAGTGAAATGCTTAGCATACCGTGCATCAGCTATTTGCTCAGAGGATGCTATAAAGGAAGAGTGCGCCACCATCCGTGATCTGCTTAGCAGGAATGGCTACCCAGACAAGTTTGTAACTGAACACATGAATATTACGAGGGTTAAGAAAACAATGCCAACAGTTCCTAAGAAGCAAATCTTCTTCAGGCTGCAATTTAAGTGATATTGCCAGTGAGATCATCACACAACGCATAAAAAACAGTCTTGCATAAAGCATTCCCAGCCACTAAATTATGTCCCGCCGTCCACAACCACCCGATTCTACGTGCAAGAAATAAAGACAAACTGCCTGATTCTGCCACTTCTATGTGCATTTATCAATTCAACTGCTCCTGTGGAGCGAGTTACATTGGGCGTACAATGAAACAGTTCCATCGTTGAATTTCTGAGCACCACCCATTATGGTTGGACAAGGGACAAATTGGAACTATAAAGAGCTCCACACTTGCACACTTAGTTGACACAGGACATCAAGTTACAGGTTACTGGAAAAGCCTTCAAAATCATCCATCAGATTCCAATTAATTTACCTCATGGATTAAGCATTCGGTTACTTCACATAGTAGAGGCGATTGCAATCCACATTCACAAACTTAGCCTTTGTATCCAGAAGAAGTTTTTTCGACCACTTTCATTACCGTAGCCGTCAATATGATGTAACTTCTAGGTTTATTTTGTACACCTCTTCCCCTTCTTGTTTCTATCAATATTCATATTTCCTATTTTAGTAACTCTATTGATTGTTTAGATCATTTTTTCCGAAACACCACCACGTGATTAGTAATTTGATCAAATTGTAAACCTCCTATATATTAGTGTAGAGCCCAAGATGAAGACCTAATTGAAAAGAAAAATGATTGGTTGAATAAATAGCTGAGGGCAGACTGGACTTATTCCCTAACCATATGAACATCTAAAAATCTTGAGTATAAAGGAGTCAATTAAAAATAAGTGAATAATAACTGTTGGCAAATCCCAACCTCATGTTCTAACAAATAAAAGAAGCTGGAAACTGTCCAAAAACACTCCCAAGTGAAAATTTGAAAAGTTAATTCTACGCACCACTTCTATGTTTTCCAATATTGATCAAGTAATTTTTTTTAATGTATTACGAATAATAGGAAATTTTACTGTGAACATCAAAACTCACCATTGAACATATGATTACAACATTATTCATACACTTAATTGAATTCAAACTAAAGCCTTGATTCATGTTATCTGTGTTCAAAATTCAATCACTTTGAAAATGTGTGAAATGAAGAGTCTATAGCTCAACCTTCACATCTGTCCTTCATAGAGCTTCAGTGATACCGACAGAAAGTATTAATATAATTGTTGTACCGTGTCTGTGACCTTTGAAGAAGGTTTTAGAGACGTGAAATTTTACGAACAAATTCACTTTACTTGAAAATGTCCTAGAAATCACATGATTATGCATATCATATTCGGATAGCTTGAGAAGAAAGGCCAAGAATAACCCTGAGCATTTCAGGAACCTGTCAAATAGTCTGCTAAAGCTATTCACAAATCAAATTTCAAGTGTAGCTTAATTAAAAAATTTATTTTAAAACTGTTGAAAGTGTGTTACAGTCAGAGTATTATGGAATTTCATATGACAACCAATAGTATAGTAACTAGGAGTATTTAGCAGCTAATGTGACTCAGCTTCATTGAATCAGTCGCTAGAAGCATTATATCAGTGATATAAGATCCTAAAGCAATGAAAGTACAGAGTAGACGGAGAGGTGAAAGTGAACAAAATGAACTTTCAAGAAGATAGTTAAAAAATATTTCATGAAGTGATCAATCTATAAGGTCACCAACTTGAAAAGTTTTCATTTGATCTCTTAGATGGTTAAGGAAGTTCCCACCATTTACAGTTTGTCTCCCTCCTCTTCCTTCTCCTTGTTTTACAGATACTACAACTACTACTCACACTACTACTACTACTACTACTCTACAAATCTGAACCTTTATTCGAGTATCTATTTAAATCCTAATTTTGAATGATTTGTTTCAGTTTCTACTTTTATTCTGAAGTGTATATAATTATTTCTTTTTTTGGAAATAAAATCATAGATTTGTTAATTGAAGTGATGATTGATTGAGTCGTCCAACTGTTGATTTTGTTTTAGTGAATAAATGAAATTTGAAATGATTTATTAAACCTACTTGATCATTTTAAACTGAATTAAAAGAATTGTAAACTGAGGCATAATTTATTTCATAATTTTCGAAAAGGAAGTATATTTGACGCCTGTATAACGGGTAATACGTAAAAATTGTCAAAGTGTACCGTTTTTGTAACAAATAATACTTTGCAGCACATTCTTTCATCAAACTGATGTTTGAAGGAATAACTATGTTGTATTTTTATGTATTGCTTTTATTTTATTGGTAGCTGCGTGACACCTCTTTCTGATTGGTTGATGTGCTTGTCTCAGATGTTGACCTTGAACAACTTTGTTCTGTTTGGTTGATAATAGTTGTCTGAATCTCTTGTGACCTCCAACACCAAATTAGCCATATGTAAAATGATAACACAAAACGATGCATGACTCTGAAGGTCATCCTAATCACTGCTGAAATAACCAATTATGTTTCTTTATTTTATGGAAAACCTCCTTTTCGGCTTAAATTGCGAAATTTGATTGATTACTTTGTCAGCGATCACGGTGACCTTTAAAATGACTTGACAACTGTTCGTTGATCAGCTGAGCCACTGTGACTGAAGACATCATGCTTTTCTTCCTTGGTCAAAGAGTTTTGATTGCATTTGTCCATCCAGTAAATGAATTGTTGTTGAGATAACGTGTATCTCCAGCACCTCAGTAGTCGGGAAGAGAGATGCACTGAAGGCAAATTCATCCAATTTCTCACCCAGCGATAACATTGGATGGTGGCCACGCTGTATTGAGAACTAACAGATGTAGGAAAATGAGAAAGATTTGATTCCGACCAAGTGATCCAGTGGCAAAGTGCTCGCCATGGAAATGTGGAGGTTTTGGGTTGGAGCCCCGGTGGAGTGACTGGTTCGGACTGTTGAGGAGTCCTACAGTGGGACGAAATGACTGTTCAGTCCCCACATGTTTTCACTGGTTCTCCAAATGAGGTCGATTCTGGATGGATACCATCATGAAATCAATAAGCTCCTGTAAACCTCTAAATTTAATTTTTTTTGTTACACAACTAAAAAATTGCCAATTATTCTCCTTTGTGTTTTCTCTCTCTTTATTTTTGCTGCAATTTAGGTAATGATGATCATGACAATGATGGGATTGTGATAAAACGATCAGTAGATCGTGCGATGACGCTGACAGCGCTCATATTCATCGTGGTCACCTTTCTTGCGATGTTGATATTAGCCTGGTATATCTCTAGGTAAGTATATTCCTCACTGACTGACTGACTGACTGACTGACTGACTGACTGACTGACTGACTGACTGACTGACTGACTGACTGACTGACTGACTGACTGACTGACTGACTGACTGACAAATAAAACTACACGAAAACGTAGTTCATCTTATACATACGTGACGTATCTACACAATACATTTCGAGCAGTCTAGTTTCATAAACACACACATACACACTTGTCATGCATATTTGTATAAACTATCATAAGGGAAGAACTGGTTGAAAGGTAGTCGATATAATTAACTTTCAAGTGGTTTGTTTGGAGGTGAAATGATCGATGGATGAAAAGATAATATATCCGATTAATCACCACTGATATTAAATGTACGTCACCAAGAGAAGTTGAATTTAGGAACGAATTGCTGTATAAATACATAGAAAAGCTCTAAGCTTCCTTATAGCTAGAGCTTCAACAAACCTACGTAGGAGTCTCCAACTGGTTTTGCAAATAGTCTGGAAAGACGCATACAAGTGAAAATCAACCTTTTGATTCCTCTCAATGACGTGTGTTGCTATGGACAAAGGCCGACATCTATTGCCTGTGTCAGTAGGATCACTCGAATTCATTCCTTTTTGCGGACATTTGGGAATATACCTTATGGCCGTTACTTGCATAAATCACTGGGTCTTCCCTATGCTTGTGTGACCGAATTTCCATTCAAATTGATAAAGGAAATTGGGTATGACGCCATCGTTCGAGTGCTGTAAGGGTTTAGAGGAGGAGAAAGGTTTGGTTTTCTTCATAATATTGACCTTTACTACATAGTATGTTCACCGAATGACCGTCTTAAGCCTTCATTTGGATGTCTGAATCTGTGAATCACCTATATACTGTAGTGCGAAATAGAAAATCTTTCTTTCGTTCTGACTGAACAATGGATTTTCTTTGTACAGCATTTCTAATACAACCAATGAATTTTAGGGATAATTTCTGTCTATAATAATACTTTCTTTCGATGAGCTTTTGTATTTCCTTCTCTAAAGTTTCATTTATTCATATTCTCTCAGTATGATTGAATAGACACTTGACTAATGCCTGCTTATGCAGAAGTGTTAAAAAAAACTCTACTAATCTAGGTACTATCCTAATGGTGTGAATCTCCAATCAATGGATTATTTAAGTAACCAATCTTACTGGTGAGTTATGAGAAAGGTAAACAATCTCTTTTTCCCTTTTCACTCTGAGTTTCATTCATTCGATTGAGAACGTGTTCTAACTTTGTGTCTGCTTGAAATTGTCTGATGTATATGATTCTGACGATTCACACTGAATGCTGACTTCACACGTGATTTGTCTTGAATGGAATTTCTCAGTCTCCTATACATTATCCACCCACACAATGAGTCAGGATATGCAATGTATAACCAAATTACTTGACCTCAATGCATCATAATTAATAAAGATGTTACAACTGATTTCATGCACAAAATATGAGACAACGAACAATAAAATGGATAACTTCATTCAATATGAAATTATTTCCAAAACACCTTAAGTCATTCATAAATGAATGAGGGATCAATCGAAAGCTTCTCAAGTCAGTGAGCTATACAATACTGTTACTAATCAAGTCATAATTGAACTGACTTTTAGAATGAACAAATGAGATCATATGACCGATGACACTTATCTGAGTTTCATGTTCTCTACTTTCTGGCTGATATAAGAACTTCAGATTCAGATAATCATTATTTTCACGAGACCTGCTGAATTCAATCTATCTGGGCTACATCACTGTGAATACCTTGTCAGTACTGATGCCTTTACTTAAGAGCCTACCTGCTTATAGAGGTCGAACAGTTTGACCCATTTAAGCTACTGGAAATCCCAAATAGTCATTAATAATAACTGATACCCGCTGCACAGGAAGCGACTATTGTGCCCCAGTGAACTAGTGGGTAGCACTCAGGGATCTGAACCAATGGGTGCTGGATTTCAGTCTCAGTGGGAACAACATCAGTTATTCACTGGGGTCCAGGTTCGTCCAACTGACCAGTCCTAAGTAAGCGTATCTTGGATTCAACTGCCAACTAGTCATTTGAAGCTAATTACTTAACGAAACAATTTTATACTTTTAATCCAATTAACTGAAGTATGTTGGGAAATAAAATTTATCACAGTGCTACAGCTGTCAGCTAGGCATAGATAGAAAAGTTGAATAAACTCTGCCTGTCTCGGTGATTTCAACTTTTTTGTCAATCAATACTGAAGTGATAAACTTCATCATCAAGGTGTTAAAATGACAGCTGATGCCTTCGAAAAACTAAGTATGCACTCATTAGAACAGGTTTTTTATAATGAACATTACATTGTTTTATTACTTGTTAGGTGAATGCTAATGTCTGATTAAATATAAAATGTTATATCAGTGTATTATTAAGTCATAAGTTGAAGTATCACTCCAGTCGTTGTTGTTGTTGTCGGAGAGAACTGAATGTCTGATAATGCACACCACTGAAGAGTAGCATAAAAGAAGAAGCAATTGTTCAACTTTCATCTATTTAACACAGATCTAAATTAAAAATCAGCCGCCATATGTCACATAAAGCTTACTTGACAACATACCGTATACCGACAGTACAAAACTCCTTTTCATAATGAAACCACATATTATGGTTGCCATTTTTGGGTGTTATGTTTGTCAGGTTATTGTCAACGTCAGTTTCATTATTTTGAAAGGACTTTCATGCTTTTCGTGATCATTATTCATCTACTCTATCTGTAAAGTATACTTACTTATTATTATTTGTCCCTTGGGTCCCTAGTAGAACAAAGGTCTTCATTAGCATGGCTCCAGTGCACTCTGTTCCCGTAAACATTTTAACCTGGCTCCACGACAGCCCACAACCTCTCATTCCTTCCTCATACGATCTTCTTCATGTCACCCTCAACTAGCACGCCCTGCTCGTCATTTCCCATCTGGGTTCCACTCGAGTGCCTGGCACATTATGTCCCCAGTCCGCCTTCTCAGTGTATGCCCAATCCATCTCCACTTCCTTCCACTGCATATTTGTTGAGTGATAGGTTGTTGGTTGGTTCGTTGCCCGACCAGAGTTCCCTGTTGCTTATTCTTTCTGACCATCTGAGCTTCAGTAACGAGCCAGTGTAGGCAGTTGTTGTTGTACGTCTGTAGTTGATTGGAAATCACTTTCGTAACGCGCCAAGTCTCTGAACCATACAGGAGCACTGACTTGACTGGGTTGGTGTTGAAAATCCGCATCTTGTACACTCCTTGTGCTGAGTGCAGAAGATCTCCACATTGGTTTCAGGTTAATGAACGCCTGTCTTGCTGTCTTTCCGATCCTGACTGGCTTTGATATCCTCGTCTGTGCCTGTGACACCTGTAGTTGAAACAGTGCTGCCTAGATATGTGAAGGAGGTTACTTCCTTTAAGTTTCTCCCATTGATGGTGATTGGAGTTTGCTGTTGTTGGAGTTGTTGGTGCGGTATCTTCATCACCTCCACCTCTGTCTTCTCTACATTCACTTGAAGTCCCGTCTTCGCTGCCTCGCCTCTTCTGTCAACTTGTTACTTTTCGCCTGTAGATCTTCAAGTCTCTGTGACATTAGACATAAGTCATAGGCGAAATCCAAATCTTCTAGGTTCTTTTCCGCAGTCCAGCCAGCGTATCCCCTCTTCTCGCTCCTCACTGTTTGTTGCATGATCCAGTCCAGTCGACCACAATCAGGAATATCATGTGTGATAGTAGACAGCCTTGTTTCACTCCTGTATCCTGTCTTCACTTCACTTCGAAGGCATCACTGAGCTTCCCATTGTGAATTACTTGGCTGATATGTGGCGTCTTCATATAGTTGTTGAATGAGGTTGGTAGAGATTTGTTGTGTTCCGTAGTGTTGAAGCAGTTTCCAAATTACTTGTCGGTCGACGCTGTCGAAGGCCTTCTCAAAGTCGATGAATTTGAGGTGTAGAGTTGACTTCCATTCTATACTTAGTTGTTTGATGATGCGTAATGTAGCGTTGCAATTTGGTCTGCACATGATTTGTACTTCCTGAATCCAACCATCCTGTTCGGGTGGTAGCTTAAAGTATATTTAACAGTATACAACTTAGTGACTAGTTGGCAGTTAATGTTGGCGTGTAATAATTAGTGTTAAGCACTGACTGAACATGATCCAACACTTCAGAAGATTATATCTTAGTGATGTATGTTGAGAGATGATTGAAAAGTTCTGTTTGATCTAGATCCAAATGTACAAAATCAGGAACTTACGAACTAAGCTATTCAAACCACAACTGAAACTCGATAGGACTAGATTAATCACGTCTATTAGTCACCAGAGGTTGTAAATACACATTGCTGATGACAGTCGACAAGTCCAAAACACATTTTCACTGCTCCCTCCTGAATGTCTTCTGAAATCTGGCATATTTACTATTTCTAAGTTGGTTGATATCATATTTTCAGTAGTGAACATGAAACTCAGCTAAGTGTCATCGGTCATATGATCTCATTTGTTCATTCTAAAAGTCAGTTCAATTATGACTTGATTAGTAACAGTATTGTATAGCTCACTGACTTGAGAAGCTTTCGATTGATCCCTCATTCATTTATGAATGACTTAAGGTGTTTTGGAAATAATTTCATATTGAATGAAGTTATCCATTTTATTGTTCGTTGTCTCATATTTTGTGCATGAAATCAGTTGTAACATCTTTATTAATTATGATGCATTGAGGTCACATACATTGATTGGATATCTGCAAAGATGAATGAAATCACTTGAGATACTGGACAACAGACGTTTTATTCTATTGAGAGTGATTGGAATGGAGTGTCGAATTGGGCTACTTGCTTTGTGAATGAATTGAGTATAGGAGACTGGGTAAGTACATTCGAGTAGAACCAGGTGCAACGTAAGCGTTCATTGTGAATCGGTAGAATCATATGAATCAGACAATCATAAGCATGCAAGTGGTATGATGCAGTGTGTTAATCCTTTGTGCTTTTTTTTCAGTGACTTTCAAAGTCTGTATATACTACGGTAGTATAACTCCAGACCAGTACAGCTGTCAGATAGACACTGAAATCTTCTGTGTATACGTAATTTGATCGGGAACACAGTTGACAGTCACCTATATCTAGTCTACAGATACGGGATTCATTCGGTATAATATACAAACTGTTTTCTACCAAAAAGATCTCCTGAATTAACTTGCCTGTTAATAACATATAAGAATATGATGTCATATCAAGAAAATAGGCTTTTTAATCTATCATTGTATGATTTCAAGATAGTATTCACCATGGACTGTTACTTTGGTTGGAAAACCATTGAAAACCTAGAAGAACTGTACAGCTGTTTCGTCCTGGTATGTGACTCTTCAGCAGTGTGGACTAACATATACTAGGACGTAACACCTGTCCACTACTTTCAAGTTTTCATTGTTTATCTGACTTATGTCGATCTTTAATGAATATCACATTAAAATAAAATCCCCATAAATCTGAAACTATAATAATGTCTAATTCATTTGCTTTTATAGACGAAGACGTAAAGATTTTGCACGGTGGAAGAGAATGACAGAATTAGCATTGAAGGTATTCAGAAAAAAATTTATTCATTTGTTATTATTATGCATGTGTTATTTCAGTCTTGATATACGCGTTACCAGTTAAATTAATCATGATTATTTATACAGAATCGATCGGTTTTTCTTCACTGCTTGTTTGTTATACTTATGAGTTAGGTGTATCAACATCCTTGAGAAAACCGATATCTTCTTAGAGATCTGAACTGGTGTCACCCACTGCTAAAGTTGAAGAGAAACATTTTAGTTGTAATGTCAACAGTCTGAAATTGAATTCTCCTAAGAGACCAACTATTGAATGATCCTAATGTTCACAACCTCAGAAAAAAGTCCTTTTTTAGAAGGAAGAAGGCGACTGAATCTACTTTAGGGTTTAGATATTTTGTGTCAAAAAGGTATGGACACTTGAGTTGATCTTGAACTCACAAGTTTAAACAATTCAAGTCCTGGAATCTTGTCTTACATGGCTTGGAAGTAGATAAGTGTTGAACCGATGAAAAGTGTAACATTTGACTCCATTAAGGTATCAGGTGATTATTTTTGCCTGTGAAATATATCTCATTCAGCCTATTCTTCAACGACATAAAGAAATCATAATATCTGTGGTAACAAACACCGGATATTTAACTGAAACCCGTATGATTCTCAGAAGTCTTCGAGGTCATATAGTGTAAGTTAATATAAGTGTAAAACTTGTGCACTGTGGTGGAATGGAATTCTATATTCGACTTATTTATTTGATAAATAACACTCAGTGATATAGAATTATTTGCTTGATGACGTTTTGAGCATAAGTAATCGTCACTCATAATCATATCAATGTAATTACACCACTTTCGACATCTGATACTGATAGTCCTATCACAACTGCATATTCTTTCTTCCAATTGGTAGTAAAGTTTTCCGTATCACTGTTATAGGTGTTGTGTCATTTCTATTACATGTGTTGGCTGGGTGTTGATTCGATGAATAAACATTCAGAAATCAGTCTGTCTCAACACTTAATCAAGTTGGACTTCAGTACAGTAGGCTTTATCCCATGCATCCTATTGTGTGGTTGTGTGTTAATCCATACATTGCAATAATCAAGTGCTGTTCCAGATTAGTAATCTTATTCGGATCTGTCATTCCATGTTTAGTTGAATTCCTGAGTTCCGCTAGTCTAACTGACCCCAGTCAGCTAGTGTAACCTATGCAATTCACCTCACTCACTCACTCACAATCATTACATGGAATTTGATAGATTAGATTGTTTTGCTCAATTGGTTCTATCAGATACTTAAGCCAGCCAACAGAGCTTATCTATGAATAAGTTTGTAGGATTGAATGCCACCCTAATTCCAGTTTTGTTGAGGATCCTAAATCATGTTTCTGATGTAACTTCATCATAGGGGGTAACACGATGGAGGTGGTGAACTCCTTTCTACTTGTGTTGTTGTTATTAGCTGCATTGGTGTTACTGTTATTATTTCGTTATTTATGTGTTCGTAGGAATTTCTTTGATGTGTTTCAACCCCTTTTTAAGTTCTTACAATGAGTGGTGAATTATCTAGCAATGTTATTTAGACACTTGACTAAACGTCCTTTTAACTGACATTGGATGAGATGACTTGAAGTCTAGACACCTGTTAGAATGTATTGGTTTTCGGCAGATAGTAGTATCCAACCCGTCGTCTGTTCCTTGCTTTGTTCATCGAATCAACCAACTCCCAAAACATGTGATAGAAATGGCGCAACGCGTATACCAGAGATGGGGACTATAAAAATCAGATGCCGAAAGTAGTGTGACTACATGCATATGATTTATTATTTTATTTATTATTAGTCCCTTGGGTTCCTAGTGGACCATAGGGCTTCAGTAGCACGTCTACAGTGACCTCTGTTCTCTGAAATCTTTTGAACCTGGCTCCACGACAGCCCAGACGCTCTCATTTCTTCCTCACACGACCTCCTCCATGTCACCCTCGGATGTCCAACTCGTCGCTTCCCATGGGATTCCACTCGAGGGCCTGACGCGTGATGAGAAACAATTTATACTGGGAACTTTATCAGGCAAATAATACTGTACGCTATATATCCAATAAACGTTTAGTATAAGAACTTAAATTGATCAGATAATATGATCAGTATCATCAGTTAAGGCTTCTTTATGAGATGCTTCGCGACATTCCTCATTATAAGATTGAAATTAACCAGGAGACCAGATAGCAGTGGTAGGTACGTCATCTTATTTGTGCATTGCGTGACACTGGATACTCACGATGCCATCAGAATGCTTTTCAAGCATTATTTTACTACACAACTACACTACAAAACGTAGATTAGACCAACAAGGAAATGAATCATGTACATCAACCTTTTCATTATATCTCAAGTTGTTATTCATCGTAGACTGACATCAGTTGGAGGAACAGAGGAGACCTTGGAGCACTGGACAGTTGTTTCTTCCAAGTATGGGACTCCTCAGCAGCGCGTACCCACGACCCCCCCAGGGATCGAACCCGAGACCTTCACGTTCCGTGGCCAGTACTTCACCATTGAGCCACTGGGTCTGTGTCCAGTGGTCCATGTTTCCAACTTCTTTGAGTTTACGGTATTATAGACAATTCACTTTTTCTTTCCTTTAATGTAACGGTTTCATAGGTAAATAAGTAATAGCCACCATCTCTTGATCTCACAAGTTGAGTACATATTACATCCAAGACAGTTATCCACTCTGAAATCACAATATGTTGGATAGCCCTTTTGAGAAGCCTAACGTATTCAGTAAGAACAGTTTAACTAGCATCCTACACTTGATGAGTTTCTATCAAACAATTCTCATCTGCTACCAGGGGAAAACATCCACCGTTTAATGAGTATAGCGACTTTCGGAGAAATATTTTGCATAAAAAAAGCGTTTTATAAAAACGTGTCGAGTTTGAGGAACTTGAAAATTCTCATATATATGGTTAACCATCAACTAAAAATCATCTTGATATCCTTTTTAAAAGGATAAATTCTGTCTGTAAAACTTTCTGTTTTCACAGGTAGCGGAATCGATGGGTGTAAATCTTTTAAAACCTTTTTAAAATCCATTCAGTCTCTGTTTACACAGAAATATATGACGAATTAACTAATAAGATGTTTGTGAGGGGACTGGTGAACTTTATAGTAGTTTCCAGCATATACTGGTGTTACCTACGGAGTCAGCTAAGTTGACAGGCAAGACAGTTGCTCACCAGAGACACTGTATCATTGTTGTGATAAACAACCAACCAATAAGAGCAAGAAAACATGAACTAACCCGTCGACTAAATGGGAATATGATCTCCTTGAGATCTGAAGAACCTGGTCCAAATCTATCACCTGGTGACAGATGCATATTGCTGAGGAGTTCTGAAGGAAGATGAAACAGCTACTCGTAATTCTAGAGTTTCAATGGTTTTCAACAAATGTAAAGTCGCGATTAAAACTGCCCAAAATGAATTAATCGACATTAATATATTTAGTAAGAAATTCTATGCAATAGGGTTTTTGTTTCTTTTTAAAAATACATTCAGCTTCCTGTTGGTAGCCATGGTGACAGAGGTATGGTCGATTTAAAAATGTGGAGGATTATGTTGAATTTAGCTGAAGGTTATTTAAGTGAAAACAAGATGTCACATTGTTTTCTTCTCGATTTTAGTCCTTCTGAACCTCACTTTCTATTTCTATTTCATTTCAGTCAAATTATACTGAAAAAGTCGACAAAGAGACTCAAATAACACCGGATTATCTTACTGAGAAAGAAACGTCCTCGTTGATCAAATCTATACACTCTATCGACAACAGTAGTCATCGCGAAGATACTGACAGTGAGGAGGCTAGGAATAATCATCACAATAATAGTGATAATCAAGGTATGGAAGCCCAATTCGAATCTCCCATGCCTACAGTGAAACTGTGCCAGCATTATCAAAAACAGGATGATGACGAACATTCGAGCCAAAAGATATATCAAGATGTAAACCAACAAAACGATGAAAGTAAGAACTTCCACGTTTAATTGTATACGAAACCCCAGAAATTTCTTCAAAACATTTGAACTACTTTTAAATAAATAAGTAGATGGATACTTAATTCGTAAATAAGTTTGGTTGAGCTGAAAGTATAGCTACGGTGGAAGTCGGATACTTGTTTTTTTAAACACACTTCAGACGACAATAACTGATAGCCGTATTTGCTCAACTCTCTTACATCTGCTGTTCTTCTCAAATGGTGTTCAAACATGCTTATCTCAGTTGCCCAACCTGCGTGTTTGACGCGTTACATTTTACAGAATTCGGATGATTTATTATGAGAATTAGTTTATAATACCAAGTGAACATTTACAAATCACTGATTTAAACAACAACCGAAAATTCTGATTGTTCCGAAGATGGCGTTTTTATTTCAGTTTGCATAAGAAGACTGGAATCACAAAAACTCAAATATAGACAAAGATACTACTAAGGAACAAACTAAGTAGTTAGGAATCACTTAGGTCTATCTATAGATCAGCTCGATATCAAAATAGAAAAACGGCCATCTGGTGTTTAGATCACTCTGATCTTCCTGATGATCAGGCTGCCTGGTTTATTACTGCTCAAACTGTTCAGCAGAAGTATCTTTCACTATTTCATAAGACTTTTGTGTCATAGATCATACCTTGTCATCTTCCCCGCGAATGATTTCCAACTGGAACCCTGTTGACAACACAGTTGGGCAGTTGAAAAACTACTCAGCTGTGAGAAATGTCAACGTGGACTGTATGGTTTGTAGATCATTTGCAAACTGTTAATTCAACTATGGTCAAGATGCTATTTTAAATCATTTTTCTAAGGTACGTATACTTTCAAAAGAGTTGACTGTTAACCTTCATAACTTAGAGCATTAAGAATGACTGTTGTGCATACAGATAATGCATGATTGCCACCTATGATGGAAAAAAAAGTGTTTCAATATCTTTGCATTTCATCTTCTCGTACTCCTATTCACCCAATAGCTCTATAGTTCTAGTAAGTACTGTAAGCACTAGTGCAGAGGATAATTTTCCCCATTATACAAATGTTTGGATGTAAATTTTATTTATGCACATCAAGTGGATATGAATAGCTGGACCAGATGGCATCCCGCCAGAAGCACTCAGAACAGACACAGAGACAACAGCGGACATGCTCACACCACACCACTATTGCAGAAGGTGTGGAAGGAAGAGAAGGTACCTGCCGATAGATTGGAAGAAGGGTTAACTTGTCAAACTGCCGAAGAAGAGAGACCTCAGTGTTTGCAAGAAGTAGCGCGGAATCACTCTCCTGTTCATCCCAAGCAAAATATTAGGCCTCATCATCCTGGAGAGGCTAAAGGATGCACTGGATTCAAAATACGACCGAAACAGGCTGGTTGGATTCAGGAAGTACAAATCATGTGCAGACCAAATTGCAACGCTACATTACGCATCATCATAGAACAGAGTATAGAATGGCAGTCAACTCTACACCTCAAATTCATCGACTTTGAGAAGGCCTTTGACAGCGTCGACTGAGAGGTAATTTGGGAACTGCTTCAACACTACGGCTTTAGTGCCACAAACCTTTATCAACCTCATTCTACAACTATATGAAGACGCCACATGCCAGCCAAGTCATTCCCAATCGGAAGCTAAGTGATGCCTTCGAAGTGAAGTGAAGACAGGATACAGGAGTGAAACAAGGCTGTCTACTATCATCCATTATATTCCTGATTGTAATCGACTGGACTCGATCATGCAACAAACAGTGAGGAGCGAGAAGAGGGGGATACGCTGACTGGACCGGGGAAAAGAACCTGGAAGATTTGGATTTCGCCTATGACTTATGTCTAATGTCACAGAGACTTGAAGATGTACAGGCGAAAAGTAACAAGTTGACAGAAGAGGCGAGGCTGTGAAGACGGGACTTCAAGTGAATGTAGAGAAGACAGAGGTGGAGGTGATGAAGATACCGCACCAACAACTCCAACAACAGCAAACTCCAATCACCATCAATGGGAGAAACTTAAAGGAAGTAACCTCCTTCACATATCTAGGCAGCACTATTTCAACTACAGGTGGCACAGGCACAGACGAGGATGTCAAAGCCAGCCAGGATCGGAAAGACAGCAAGACAGGCGTTCATTAACCTGAAACCAATGTGGAGATCTTCTGCACTCAGCACAAGGAGTGTACGAGATGCGGATTTTCAACACCAACCCAGTCAAGTCAGTGCTCCTGTATGGTTCAGAGACTTGGCGCGTTACGAAAGTGATTTCCAATCAACTACAGACATACATCAACAACTGCCTACACTGGCTCGTTACTGAAGCTCAGAGGGTCAGAAAGAATAAGCAACAGGGAACTCTGGTCGGGCAACGAACCAACCAACAACCTATCACTCAACAAATATGCAGTGGAAGGAAGTGGAGATGGATTGGGCATACACTGAGAAGGCGGACTGGGGACATAATGTGCCAGGCACTCGAGTGGAACCCAGATGGGAAATGACGAGCAGGGCGTGCTAGTTGAGGGTGACATGAAGAAGATCGTGTGAGGAAGGAATGAGAGGTTGTGGGCTGTTGTGGAGCCATAGGTTCAAAAGATTTCAGGGAACAAAGTTCACTGGAGACGTGCTACTGAAGCTGTGTGTTCCATTAGGAACCCAAGGGACTAATAATAAAAATAAATAATATTAATAATGGATATGAATAAGTCGTTTTCCATTCTGTACCGTGTTCATATCAACTTGCCTAAAAGGTACTGTGCTGTAGATGCTTCAAGTTGTTGAAGCAGTGGCAATCAGCATTATACAACCATAATTATGTGTTCAGAAACAGCAAGAGTTGCTGCTACAAATACCATGACCTGATTCAAGATGCATTAATTCACTTATATTCTGCCCCAAGTAATTCAATTTTCTAATTCCATACTATAAATACCCATTAATCCCTATAATCCGAAATAACTTTGATAAATTCTCTTAATCTATTTTATCTTGTAATATGAGTAATATTCGATCAAGCTATAGTCCCTCAAATTATCCTTCTTGGTTTATTTCATCTATCTGTCATAAACATCCTTCGGTTGTTTTATTCAACTATCACCTTATAGTATTACATAAGCGGTATATTCATTTAGATAATATATTACTTTGAATCCACTCCAAACAACTGATTCTATTGTAGGCGTTCATACAATGACTTTTCTCAGTTGAATTTTCTTCAATGGATAGTATTATAAACAAACTGGTGAGCGGGATCTTTATATTCCCTACTAGATTTGTTTATTTCATACAGTATTATTTACTGGATGACTTTTTGAGCATAAGTAACCGTCACTCATAATTATATCAGTGTACTCATATAACTTTCGATATCTGATTTCTACAGTCCATATCACTGTTATAGGTGTTGTGTCATTTCTATTACATGTATTGGCTGGGTGTTGATTCGATGAATAAACATTCAGAAATCAGTCTGTCTCAACACTTAATAAAGTTGGACTTCAGTACAGTAGGCTTTATCCCATGCATCCTATTGTGTGGTTGTGTGTTAATCCATACATTGCAATAACCAAGTGCTGTTCCAGATTAGTAATCTTATTCGTGTCTGTTATTCCATGTTTAGTTGAATTCCTGAGTTCCGCTAGTCTAACTGACCCCAGTCAGCTAGTGTAACCTATGCAATTCACCTCACTCACTCACTCACAATCATTACATGGAATTTGATAGATTAGATTGTTTTGCTCAATTGGTTCTATCAGATACTTAAGCCAGCCAACAGAGCTTATCTATGAATAAGTCTGTGGGATTGAATGCCACCCTAATTCCAGTTTTGTTGAGGATCCTAAATCATGTTTCTGATGTAACTTCATCATAGGGGGTAACACACTGGAGGTAGTGAACTCCTTACTACTTGTGTTTTTGTTATTAGTTGCATTCGTGTTACTGTTATTATTTCGTTATTTATGTGTTCGTAGGAATTTCTTAATAAATTGAGGAGGATAATTATTGATCATTAGCGCTTCCTTTATATGCTTCAGTTCATTGTTTAGGTCACTGCGGTGACTAATCAGCTTTGTAGCTCTATTAATTACACATCTGACTAAACCTACTCTGAATGACATTGGATGGGATGACGTGAATTCTAGATACCTGTTGGAATATGTCGGCGTCCTGTAGACAGTAATACCCAAACCACCGTCTATCCTTTGCTTCGTTCATCAAGTCTACACTCAACACATGTAACAGAAATGACGCAACACGGATACTAGAGATATGGAAAAAACGTTTTACTACTAATAAAAACAAACAATATGAGGTGACAGGACTATAAAAATCAGGTGTCTAAAGTGGTGTGCACTTCCTTAATATGTACATAAAACTATAAGAGCTGAAGACTGGCAGCCATCATTTTACCTATGATTAAACCAAAATTCTGGATTCGCTACGTGGACGACACTTTTGTCATAATTAAAAAAGATGATGTAGAAAACACTGACAGTTTGATCAGCAACGTTTTCAGTGACATCAAATTCAAAATGGAGAAAGAGTTAAACAACCAACTACCATTCCTGGATGTTTTAGTCAGTAGGACAAATGCCGGAAATCTGGAAACCCAAGGGTACAGGAAGCCAACACACACTGATCAAACCCTCAACTACAATAGCAACAACCTAACAACACACAAAATCAGTTGCGTGCGGACTGTATTCAAAAGAGCGAAAATATACTGCAGTACAACAACTTCATGGAGAAACGAAGAAAATTACTTGATGTCCACCCTAAAGAAGAGCGGCTACCCCTGAAATTTTATCAGAAGGTGCCTATCCCGTGCATCATCATCTACAAAGTCATCGACAGAAATCAATAAACGCATCATGCTACGGAACACGAAGAATATATCAGAAATCATGACAAGATAACTGAGACTACTTGGTAGGATTGATGTGACTCACAAACCAACAAATTCCCTCCAAACACTGTTATGCAGACCAAAGGATGCAACAACAATCAGAAAAGACAAACCGAATGTCATTTACAAAATCAACTGCAATAACTGTGGTCAACACTACATTGGGCAAAGTGGCCGCCTTCTTCGCCTTCGTCTACATGAACACCAAGTGGCTATTAAACGTCACACACGACATTTCATCACTCATTTCAATTCATATGGATAACAACTATGGACATGAATTCAATTTCGACAATGTAGAAATTTTGGACAGAGGAAACATAAAGAATGACAGATAAATCCTAGAAACTTGACACTCAGGTGAGTCAGCAATCAACAGATGTGTAGACATAGACCCAATCTATCAACCAATAAGAAAGATGATAAAAGACAGAAACTTCAGAGGTCAAGCAGACGGACAGCCAACAGGAAAATCTATACAGTCAATAACACAACAATCAAAGGAAACAACCAATCATAGAGCGCTTCTTCAAGGCAAGCTACTAAGTCACTCACAGAGAGATACTGACAGCTCACTTTATACTGAAGTTAGTGCTGACGATGTCGTCTAGAAGGACGATGAAAGCTTCACGATTAAACAACACAGCTCAGAGAACACAATACAACTAAGATAAACATGTTTATTAGCAGATTTGAGTTTCAGTTAAAACAAAGACTCACACACGTACACAGTATAACAGCCACAAAGACCAGGAAAAAGGTTTATTGATGGTTCAAACCTTTTAAAATAAGGCTATCAGCAAAAAATGCTACACTCAGTGATGATGATGTAAGTTTTCAGCTAGATTTTCTATCGTTGAGTTGAACGCATTAGTGTGTCATCCATTCTGACCTCACGCACTAAAAATGTGTCAAAAATTCACGTTGTTTTAGACTGCAGCCCTATATTAGCTTAGTTTATTTGATGTAGCACACAGTGATACAGTATTATTCACTGGATGAATTTTTCCAATACAATTTACTGCCTATAATTATGTCAGTGTAGCACATAGACTCTCTCACGTAGTCTTTACAGTCCTTTCACATGCCGTTCTTTAGTTTCAATGACAATAAGATTCTCTACACTTATGGAATTGGTGTTGCGTAATTTCCTTCATAAGTACTGGCTATTAACTCAATTAGACAACTCATCACCCATAGACAATGTATACAGAATGCGATCACCACTAGCACTAAAGAATGAATAGTTGTATAACAACCTCCGTATGATCATGAGCAATAAACTGTATTCGAAACGTCATCGAGTGAGTAGTACATTGTCAGATGCACCGGTAAGATATCGGACTATCCATCGAAGGATTGATATATAGCACTGCAGTGCATTCCGTCCTGTTATACGTCTGTTAGGCACGATTGTGAAGTGGTTGCGGGATTCTGATCACAGATGTCTTCACAGCATCCCTTCCATCTGGTGGAATCACCGTGTGAGCAATGCTGACGTCAGGTGAAAGGTACTAGGCAAGGTTTGCAAGTCTGTTGGTGAGGTTGTGAACCATCATCGACTGAGATGGCTTGGCCATGTACTGAACATGCCGATCTACTGCCTAATTCAACGTGCCAAACTAAGAGAAGTTGGATTAAGTTGGAAGTGGGATCAAGATGGCCAGACCAAGACGTGACACCAGTCCATGAAGTCCATGACTCTTGGTTTGAGTAGTGTGGGGAGATGTAAACTGCCTAGTTGAGCACCGCGAGGCGAAATGAATTAGTGATCGAGAACTCTTGGTGATATGACCAAAAACTGGTCACAGTGGCCAGACGTATTCACTCGTTGACGTCATCTGAAACTTGAATACTTGCACTATCCATTATCTTCAGATTATTTGTTCTCTCATACAATTTTTCCAACTTTGATATCACTCTTTTTTTATCTCCATCTGTTCTTTTTATAGTACTGTGAAGGGTGACAACCTGAGCCGATGTATTTACGTGCAAGGGTCTGCGTTGATTTGTCCCTTGTCAGTCACATGCATAAATCTAAAGTGGAATTACAAATCCCTTGAACTTAATTCCCTTAAATAAAGCCAGGAAAAACAGGATGTAATGAAAATGGTTATGATAAGAGAAACATATACCGTATAGTACTGAATACAATATGAGTAGCTAGGAGCCTCTTGCACTATACTGTTAGCGTATTTGTAGGGCAGTTGAAAAACGACTCATTTTTGAGAAGTGCCAACATGAACATAATTGAATATGAAATTGTGAAGTATCGAATAAGATCAGGGTAATGCTAACTAGAAGATTAAGTAACACGTGAAAAACTTGATAAACATAAAAGTGAAATTAAGTCAGTGACTTAAATTTCTCAACTGACAAAAATGAAATATTATGCCATTAAAAAAGGGAGCATTGAAATGAATTTACCAAGGTCAGGGTTTGAGAGACTGATTGAGCACTCTGTTGACCACACTATGTGACAATAGCTTTTGCAGAGTAAAGGCTTTAGAAATGTCAACCTGGTGTTGCGTATCCGCAGTGTTTTAGCTATTTATACTGCTAGAAATTGTGTTGCCCAAGACAAAAACCGTTGAAATAAATGTAGGAAATCGGTTGCAGATTAAACTGCTAATTTCTGTAAATTGGTGGATACAATTGCCCGTGCCACAATGAAGATATCTGTCCACTTTTAAATCGGTCTAGTGAGTATGGAGCGTCATATCCCTATAACCGGTAGTACGACTTAACAGCCTACGAGCGAAATGAACCTTCCAGACTACGAACAATAGGAACCTAACGAGCAGCGAATCGACTCTAACGCAAATCAGAAGGTCAATCACTACCACCACAACAATAACACCGACGTGAAAAGACAAGAAGAGAAGACAGATCGCTGACAGAAAGCTTTTCACTGCCTCAACAACAGTCAGTACAGTTGACACCAATGGTGAATATATACATTTCTAAATGACCTTGACAACACTAAATCCACATGTAGTTAACAACCAATGAGAGTTCAGTCTTGAGAGCAAAAATACAAAAACAAGAAACGGTGTGAAAACAGCCGTTTAGGTTATTTTCAGGTCATGGGCGAAACGACAGGTAAAGCTGTGCAAAATTAGGGATATAGCACATAGTCTGACATCACTCTGTGACGATAGGACATCTTTCAGTGATATTTTAATCCCTCTATACCCTCTTCTTGATATGACATTTCCAGTGAACTTCAAACAAATAAAAACGTTTTTTTACCAAGAAAACCTGTTTCAGCTTTTCACTTTATTTGTGTCTCCATTTTGGTGGTGAGTTTCAAGGATGACATTTCTCTTTCAGAAACTGTTTGCAAAAGTGCTTTAAGTCTCCTTCAGTTTGCTGAGCAAGGTAATATTTGTAATTCTAGCGTGCAGCAGTTTGACAGAACCATTGCGAACCCAAATGCAATACATAGCCACTTTGCCCTATCTTGCTACTCTCCAGTAGTTCTCAATCTGCAGTGCCAATGGATGGTGGTAGCGCTATGTCGTTTATTAACGGAAGTAGGAGAGTCGCCCATTTGATTCCAAGCTTTCAGGTCGCCACAGAGTATGATGGTTCACAAATCATATGATGGTTCTGAACTGGATCCATTATGGGTTTGTTGGTGCTCACTGCTTGGAAGTTCCGAGCTAAGACAAAACAGCTGACCTGTACTCCTAGGACTTCACTGGTTCTCCTAGTGATGTCAGACGTTGATAAATAAACTACTTTTGAGTCAATTTAATCCACAATAAAAGGATAGTTATTGTATTTAGCTAAAACTCTAAGCTGTTTTCATCTGATGCGAAGCCATGAGGCATCCACATAGAACCCTGTCGGTCAACAGAGGTTGAGCAATTCGACTATGTATAGTAACGGGAAATTACAAGTATCAAGTAATAAAACGAACCCAATTTAATTCTACATATTTTTTTTAACTCTTGCTTTCTTGAAATCTGTTCTCTTAGATCAGTCAGTCTACGATTAGTAAGAAGTCATTTCAACTTAAAAACGAAATTTACTTTCAATTTTAGAATCGTCAGTACTTGAGAACCCGAATACAGGCGATCTAATGAAACTTGATACGCCAACTGAGCTCTGTAGTCATGTCAGTTCTAGCAAAGAGTTGCCCATTGACAGTCAGACAAAAATGGATCATAAAAAGAGAACAAGAAGCAAAAGGAAAGCACCATCGATTCAAATTTCTGACAATGAATTACTGACAAATCATCAAGCAGTTGATAAAATTGATGAGAGAGTTGCTATTGCCACTACTGGAAGCCCAGGTAAATATGCAAATACGGAAAATGAAACAGAGGAAGCAGGTAATATTTTATCATCGTTTTGAAGCTACTAATAAGTAGTATAAATAAAAGACCTAAAAATGTTTCCCCCTACCTGAGTTGAGCGACTATTGTTCAAAACATAACATTTTTCTGTGCTGTTCAGCAGTTCATTAACATTTGAAACTTACTTGTCAACTCAGTCAATATCTGTCTTGCCAGATAGTCATCTTAGCGACTAATGCAAACTATAATAACCTCAAGCAATCTATAAGTAAGTGTTTTTAAATATGGATGACATGACTCAAATATTAGCGTAGAGGATACATCCTACAGGGTTATGCTTAAAGTATGCCGAGTAAATCCAATAGAACAGCCAATCCTGTACTAAGATCCTAACTTTGAAGAAACATCTAGCAGCGTAACGAATGAAAACTCGTAATGACAAGACTGGAATCTTACACCACTGTATGAGATCACTCGGTACCACTGTGGCCTGTATTAGGAAATAGGTAGCCTTCGAATACGAAGTTCATGAGTTGTTAGACAACAGCGATTAAGGCTGCTAGCTGACATAAGTTCAAGTAGACATCTGGATTGTGAATAGCTTCACATCGTGTACTTATCTGTTCAACAATGTCCCTCTTTTGGCTGACTTTTCCACTTTTACTCATGATTCTAAGTCTCTCTGCCATTTATTCAGCAATAAACTATCCACTTCTAAGTTAATCAAGCTTGCAAACTATCCTTAGCCAGATTTGTGGTGATTTATTGATTTCAAGCTGGTATTCATCACGGAGTGACATCATTTGGAGAACCAGTAAAAACCTGAGACCTGTGGAAAGCTATTTCGTCAGTGGTCAGAAGCAAATAACATGAAATTGGTTGTCCTTCATTGATCAACCAATGTATCGAATCTATTCGTGGCCTAAATAACTCATTTGTAACATCACTGATTATAGCACTGAATGAATCGGGTTCTTATCTCACAGGAAAAATCAATTTCCTCAAGGTTATGGATACATATACCTTGCTGGCAAGAAACCTTGGACAAGCAGGGCTTTTTGCCATCTACCTTCAACCAGCTAATATGTACAAAGTGATCTTACTTTTTTACTAAGAGGTGTGATAGGCTAAAATGAAGCAAAATGTGCAGTTCACAACACTGTTCAATCAGTTTTTCTTTGAATAAACGCTATTCCATAATTTTCTTATATTGGGTAACGATTGAAGATGAGGTGAGAAATTGGACCGTGGCCGGGTTCGAACCAGCAAACACCGGGTTACCGACCCAATGTTCTATCACCTGACCAGATATTTATTTCACCTCAATCGCCAAGGCTTTTTCGACCGACTGCCAAACTACAGCCATCTCAGATAGTCAAATGATAATCTACATGATACTCGCCCTCCCCCCTAGTTCAGTTAGATTCGGATTTGGATGAGAAGTTCTAACTATGCAGCCAGCGACAGTACCGCATGGCGAATACACACAGTAGTTGGGCAAGCCCTATGGTGATTGAAGTGAAATAAGAATCTGGTCAGCAGTCGGACATCGTAGCTAGTTGGTAGAGCATCTGGCTGGTAATCAGGTGGTCGCTGGCTGGAATCCAACCACGGTCCAAACTTCCATTTCACCTTCAATCATCACACAATATGAATACATCTTGTTGACTTTTGATCAGAATAATATGTAATAATGAAACTTCACAAGACAAATTAGTGAATTTCAGATCGATCAGATATTCAAGGTTACATTAGATCAGTTTCCGTTGGACACTATATATCTATGAAGTAAAACTGATAACTGTATCACTTGAGATGACACTGGATCTGGTTAGAAAGGTTTATATGCAGACTAGTTAAGAACACTTTGCCTTGCCTCGGATTCGAGCCCAGGAAGATATCCCCCCTAATGTTCTTGAATTTAAAATTGGCACTTCACCTAGTGCGAAATATATTGAATACCTGCTTAGACAATGATCAGCATTCTATTTGATATTTTTAGAAAGACAATTCATCCTCAGATATTTTACCCTTCTGAAAAGAACAAGAACCAGACTGATTTTGAGTATATTGACCTTATATCTTTGCATTTCTAACTTCTTCTCAATGAATGATATGGAACATCTTAATGATTTCTATGAATCGACAGCTAGAAATATATATACAAGTAACTGAAACAAAATATTATTGAGCTCCAAGATATTTCTAGAGGGGATGTCAAACAGGCTGAATGATTTAAGTTTACGAGCGCATATTGGATTCACCTGTGCTCTGGGGTTGTTCAATATCTCATCGTTATCTATATACCATCACAGTTAAAATAATCAATTTTTACTCCATAGTTGATTATTACTAAGGACAGACACCTAACACACATGAATCTTTATACTGATTATCATTTGACTGTCTGACATAGCAACGAACCAACAAAGAACCCATCGCCCAAAAAATAGGCTGTAGAAGAAATTGAAGATGGATTGGATTGGACATACACTGAGAAGACGATTGAGGGACATCACACACCAAGTCAGGTCATCGAGTGGAAGCCAAATGGGAAACGACGAGTTGGGCGTCTCAGCTGATGGTGACGTGGGGAAGATTGTGTGAGGAAGAAATGAAAGCTTGTGGGCAGTGGTGGAGCCAGGTTGGAAAGACTTCGGAGAAGAGAGTGAAATGGCGACATACTACTGAATCCCTATGATCCACTAGTAACCCAAATGATAAATAATAATAATAATAATAATCTGAGATAGCCGTGATTTGGCAGACTAGTATTTTTACTGGGTGATTACTGAAGGTGTAATGAAAATTTGAATCGGGATGAGAAGTTTATATAAACTATGATCAAGATTTATTATAAGGGTTTTTATATGATACCGTCGTTGCTTGGACCGAATTGATCTGATTATGTTAAGGATGGATCGTGGCTAGCAGTGGAACCCAGGATGCGCACTTCGTCCTATTTGGGACTTGTCAGCTGGATGTATCACATACAAACCCTTATACTAAAAACTATACCCGTCGCACAAGAAGTGGCTATCGTGACTCGGTGGTGTATTGGAGAACGCACTGGCGTTCGAGGCGATCGCTCCTAAGTCCGAATCCCGACGGGAACAACATCACTCACTGGGAAGCAAGTACATCCAGCTGGCGAGTCCCAAATAGGACGAAATGCGCATCCTGGATTGCAATGCTAGCCACAGTCCATCCTTAATACGATCAAGATTTGATTGTGTAGTATGGTGAATATTGGGAGCTGAGTAAGAGGTTGACACTGGATATAGATTGTAGTGGGTTTGAAATCCAATAATCCCGACGTTTCTCACAGAAGTCTGGTCCAAGCTTCTTCGTTATTTTTCCCTGAAGGAGCTCGGACCAGACTTCTGTGAGAAACGCTGGAATTATTTGATTTCAAACCCACTGAGATGTACACAACTACAATCTATATCCAATGTCAACCTTTCACTCAGCTCCCAATATTCACCATACTACACAATCAAATCTTGATCATAGTTTATCTATATAATAACTAATCATTCAGTGTGAATTTGTATATCTCCTGTTGTATGGCGTGTGCATGTGTATGTATGTATGTATGTATGTTATATACATATGCACATATGTACTCCTATTCATATTCATCTTGATTGTAAATATCAGACGAAAAAGATCATAGGTGACATTATACTCACTTAGTAATTTTATAAGTACAATGGAATGGATGAAGTGGATATGTATGCAATTTCATTTGAAATATGTTGATGAATTTTTCCATTGATTTAACGGAAAAAGAGTGGAAATCAGCAATGATAATGATGGTGATGATGTAAATGATAATAGTAATAGTGAATTAAATCAATCCAGATTGTGTTATTGGTGAAGAAATAATGAAGTTGAGACTGGTGTTGACGGTAAATGCTTTGAGTCACTCTTTCTGCTTACTAATTAGTAATTACCAAGAGGCAGCTAACTGTACTGCATCTCGTCTGTTCAAACTGTCTGAATTCACCCATATATGTTGGGCTTTGGCTGTCAATCATTCTTGGTATGACCCAAAACCTTTTGTAGGACCTTAGTTCCGTCAAAGTCAATTTTGTATCCCATTTCTTTGGAATACAGTGTGATTGCGGATTTGTTTTCTAGTTTCTTAACATTTGCTGAGGTTTTTCGGATCTGCTTTAAGCATAGTTTATGCTCATTGACTCTGATATTTACCTGCCCCTACATATACTTCAGTACAATCTCCGCATTTGATTTCATAAACGCCGTTTTGTTGATTTTTGTTGGAATTATTTGATTTCAAACTCTCTGTGATTTATACAAATATGTAATCTGATGGGATGAGAAGTTCTGACAACATAGCCAGTGTGAATACGATCAAACGGTAGTAACGCATCACGAATTCACATGGTAGTCAGGCAAAACCTTTGGTAATTAAAGTGAAATAAAAGTCTAGTCAGCAGTTGGACGTTATAGCTCAGTTGGTACAGTATCTGGCCGGAAACCTGGTGGTCACTGGTTCGAATCCATCCGCGGCCCCAGTTTTTATTTCACCTTTAATCATTACCCAGTATGAATCTTTATATGCCTAATTGACATCTAACCAAATAAACAAATCAATGGGATTACTGAATACGTCATTGTACATGTGACAGTGATTAACTTTGTATTCACATGAAAAGTGACTTAAGAAAGGTCACTTTAACAACTGCTGAGATAATCAAAAGCCCATCTCAGTTACAAGTGAGATAACCTATCAAAACTCTTTATTTTATGAAAATTCACCTCTCCAGAGGAAATAAAGAAACCTAATTGGTTATTTCATCAGTTGCTAGAGTGGCTTTAAGATCACTCCGTTTCTCGATCCTATGAGCAACTACCGTCCCAGCCAATATACCACAACCTGATTGGTGATTTTAGCAGTTGTTACGGTGCAGTGGAGGGCGGCTTATATGCATTCATATACCTATGACTGAACTGTTTAAATGCAGGGCGCCATGTACTTAGTATCATAACAAATTTGCCTGTTCCTGACTGATCTTCAGTTGAAAGTCCTAGTTAGCAAGGAGTACGGTAAGTGCTTTCTCGTGTAAAAACTTACCAATGACACCTTGAGATTTCAGAAAAGTTAGTTTTCAACTTTACTCATTGTTCTTATACATCTTCACATCATGAATATTTTCATTACTCAACTATAAATGGCTGACTTTATTTCAGATATTCTAGCTAAAGACAATTCTCAAAGAAAACAGTCAATCAACCGATACAATAATAGACTTCAGCAGTTACTTAGCCATGAAGTTGATCATCCAACACGTCCACCCATGGAAAGTCAACGTAATCCAACCAAATCATATGATCATCTTACAAGTCATACCATTGGTCGAAATATAACCAATCCTGTTCATACTACAGTGAATATCTTAAGCAGTGCAATTTTAGATAGACCATATATAAATGCCGATGAAATACATACTTTATTTGATAATACCATTCCTAATGCATCACCTATTGGTCAACATCAAAGTCATGACCTTGAATATTTTAATCCAGTCAATACAAAGATCAGCTCAACTCTACCACGTGACTATAAAAACCATTGCAATACTAATCCTGTTAATACAAATCAACCATCTCATTGGTTGAATGCAGAATATCTTACAGATAAGAGAAGTAAAATATTTCATGGACCACAGGAACCGTTTATTGTAGCGTCTCAGCATGATGCTCTTCTTTCAGAGTTATTACATCGTGGAAAGGAGTCGAGTGTTACAGAGCCACGTCCAAAGAGTACTTTTTAATGCTATGGGTTTAATTCAAAAGTTTATAAGCATGCGAAAGTACATACGCTTACACTTTCTTAATATTTAACAATGAAACAGATTTGATAAAAGGACACATCTTTTTCAACAAACATTCCACATTCTGGATGTGCACTGCTACTCATTAACTGGAAATTAACACATCAATACTGACATCCAGATCTTATGATAAATCGGTAATCAGTAGTCATCCTGAATATTGACTGCAATGAAAATTCTGTTTATTACCCAATTTTACGAAGTGAAAGAACCTATCAGGGAACGTGATATGATCTATTTTGCTGATGTCTATGGGATTATACAGTAATACTTACCAAAGTTTTTGTCAGTACCTATATCGTGTAATAATATTGACTATGCATCTTAGAAGAGTAAATAAGATTGATATTTTTCACAATTAGTACTTTTACACTTGTTATTTCGTGTTGTCGATTGGGCTGAACCGAATAAGTTGGCCTCTGCTGACATATAGCCTACTTTGTAGATGCCTTGATAGAGTGAGTTATTTCATTGTGTTATTAACCATGAATAGTGGCTAGTAGTGGGATGCAGGATGTATTTTTCATCCAATTTAAGACTCTTCAGACAGATTTACCTGAATTCCTGTGAGTGATGGTGTTTCTACTGAGACCTGAATTCATCACTCTTCGTTTCAAAAGCGATTACAGAGTCACGATACCCACTGTTTTTGCAACTACATCCGGCTGATGACTCTCAAATAGAAGGAAGTGTGTTTCCTCGATTACCCTGATGGCCACCATTCGTCCCTAATGCTCTCACAAGTTTATCATGGATGGAAGTGACCGGTCCTACGTGTGTGTTCTCAGAGATATAAGTCAGTTAAACAGGCAGTTCAAATGTGTTATTGGGTGTAACCAATTCGTGCTCAGAAGAACTGGATTAGTGACTACTCTAGTAATAGCCAATAGGGACAAAAAATATTTTTAATATATAACCCGGATTTTTTTCCTCACTAGTCTGAATTGGTTTACTGAAGTGATTTTCATTTGACTATCTAAGATAACAGCCATGGTCTATCAGACCAGTATTTGTACTGGGTAATAATTGAAGGTGAAATAAAAATTCGGACCATGGCCAGATATTTTCAGAAGAGATTACCTTTTTTCCTAAGTTATTCACTAGCCGACAGTCATAATTCCTTCCATTTCTTGACGCTGAGCTACATGCTAACTAGATGATTTGTTATGAACAGCTCTAGCCACTTGTGAACGAAAGGCCTCATTTTCCAATCGCTCAGAAATAGATAAAATAAGTCAGTGCATTTTAATAACATCCTGCTGTTGCTCCTGAGGCAAGTGACGCTGCATTTTTCGCAAACTCATTTTGAGGTGTATTCGGATATCACCCTGACGTTGATTTTGCAGGAGTTTTACATAAAATTGGTGACAGCTGAACTTTCATGACGTGTTGGCTCATAGGAAAGTCATCAGTTGGTAATTTAGACAACTCACAACATGATGTAGGTATGCTCTGATGTTATTTGGTTTACTGTATACTTCGTAGACACCTATGTTGTAGACCCTCCCACGGGAAAAGACTATATATGATGACTGCAGTGGACCACATCTTTAGACTGGAATCATTGCAGAGCGCGATTTATTATTATTATTATTATTATTTGCCCCTTGGGTTCCAAGTAGAACATAGGGATTCGGTAGGACGTCTCCATTTCACTCTCTTCTCTGAAGTCTTTCCAACCTGGCTCCACCACTGCCCACAAGCTTTCATTTCTTCCTCACACAATCTCCCCCACGTCATCGTCAGCTGAGACGCCCAACTCGTCGTTTCCCATTTGGCTTCCACTCGATAACCTGACTTGGTATGTGATGTCCCTTAATCGTCTTCTCAGTGTATGTCCAGTCCAACCCATCTTCACTTCCTTCTGCATAGTTGTTGGGCGATACGTTCTTGGTTGGTTGGTTTGTTGCCAGACCAGACAGAGTTCTTTGTTGGTTTTGCTTATTACTCTCGCCATCTGATCGATCTTCAGTATCGAGTTAGCGTAGTCGGCAGCTGTTGATGATGTATTTCTGTAGTTCGTAGGAAATGCTTTTCGTAACGCCCAAGTCTCTCAACCGTCACACAGAAGGACTGACTTGACTGACATCAGTGTTGAGAATCCGGGTGTTGTTCGCGTATTAAGCTGAGTGCAGTAGACCCCCACACTGATTTCAGATTAATGAAGACCTGTCTTGCTGTCTTTCCGATCCTGGTCTTGACATCCTGATGTGTGCTTGTGCCGCCTGTATTTAGAAAGGTGCTGCCTAGGTGGGTAAGTAGGTGAAAGAGACTACTCCCTTTAGGTTGCTCCGGTTGATGGTGATTGTTGCTTGTTGTTGCTGTTGTTGTTGTTGGTTAAATATCTTCATCACCTCCGTCTTCTCTACGTCCACCTGAAGAAAGTCCCGTCTTTGCTGTGTCACTGCTTCTGTTAACTTGTTGGTTTTCTCCCTTAGACCTTCCAGTTCATGGCTCACTAAAGACACCTCTCCGGGACCAGATAAAATCCATCTGGTGGTTCTGCGAGAGGGAGCTTCAGTCTTGTCCAAACCCTTAAGTGAGTTATTTAAGAGTTCTCTGAGTCAGGGGATAGTACCCGACTCTTGAAAGCTGGGCCACATAACGCCAATCTTCAAAAGGAGTCAACGAAGCAATTCAAAGAAATACGGACCGGTGACACTTCTATCCGTTCCTTCCAAAGTAATGGAATCGTTGATATACGATGGACTGAGGGATTATCTCACAAAGATAAATTTCTTTGCACCCCAACAACATGGATTTCGTAAAGGGTGCTCCTGCATTAGCAATCGGCTCACTGTAGTAGATCGGTGAACTAGCACTGTTGACCGTCGAGGACGAATTGATGTTATCTACCTAAACTTTGCTAAAGCGTTTGACAGTATGAGTCACGACTGCCTTATTGATAAATTGATATTAATCGGGATTCAACCTCAGCTCACCGACTGAGTGTCTTCATATCTATGGGGCTTTTCATTCAGGGTTCGGGTGAGTTTCTCTGTGTCTAAAGAAACAGAATGTCCTAGTGGTGTTCCCCAAGGTTCAGTACTAGGGACTCCCCTTTTTCTAATACATATAAACGACTCGCCCCAACGGGTCTCTTCCGAAATCCTTCTTCTTGCCGATGACGTGAAACTCTGGAGAGAAGTCAAAAGTGAAGAAGACAGTGTTTTCGTACAGAAAGACTTGACTCGACTTCACAACTGGGCAGCCAACAACGGGCTTGAACTTAATCCTGAGAAATACGAGGTGATACATGCAAAACATGATGCATCTCATGCACATAGCCTCAGTGGCATGGAACTTGAAGCATCACTGACAGAGAAGGATTTGGGCGTGTTGGTCCCCCAAGGACTTAAAATCCTATGCCAACTGTGACAGAAACGCATTTCGTGGAAACTTGGCGTTAGTAACTCTTGGACGAATTTTCGGATAATTCAATCGTAGATGCTTCCGCCAAATTTTCAACAGCTTCATACGGCTTCACCTGGAGTTTGGGACCATCGTCTCCCCCTCTTCTCTCCAGAAGGACAAACTAAGCCCAAACGCATCCAGGGGCGTTCGACAAAATTTGTTCGAGGACTTAGGTCTGAAGCATACGAAGAACGACTGGCTGCGCTGGAGCTGTATACTTTGGAATACAGAAGGGTAAGAGGGGACTTCATGATGACTCACAACATTCTGACCACGCCCCGCCATCCACTCCGTCACTTATTAAGTCTTGGCTGTAGCGCTAATCTTAGAGGACACGCACAGAACTAAACCATGAACATAGCAGGCTGGATGTCAGGCACAGCTTCTATTCCCTAAGAGTTGTTAAACCCTGAAACGCTCTTCCTGAAGATGTGATTTGGCCTACTTTGTCTGAATCCTTTAAAAGCTGACTGGATACCCAATTGACATGTGTCTGGGATCTGCCCCGAATCGATGAATTTTCACATTTTAACCGCCACTTTTTCCTCTTTCTTTACTTGTACGCAGGTTAACAGCCACAAGAAGTAGTGATTGACGGGTTGTAGACGCGGAGTCCAGTTGAGCGAAAGCTTCTTCTATCCCATCAGCAACCACTTGAGTTTGTGTGATATTAGACATAAATAACCGGTGACATCCAAACCTTCTTCTAGGGTCTTTTCATCGGTCCAGAGTATGCTCATTTTCTCACTCTTCATCGTTAGCCGCATGATGCAGTCCACCACAGTCAGGAAGACCATTGGTGATAGTAGACAGCCTTGTCTTACTCCTGTCCTCACTCCAAAGGCGTGACTGGGCTTTTCATTGTAGATCACTTGAAATGTGGCATAATCATATAGCTGTTGGATGAGGTTGATAAAGATTTGTGGTACTAAGACCTTAGTGTTGAAGCAGCTACCAAATTACTTCACGGTAGACGCTGCCGAAAAGCCTTTTCAAAGTGGATGAAGTTGAGGTAGCGAGTTGACTGCCGTTCTGTGATGATGCATAGTGGAGAGTTGCAATTTGATCCGCACATGATTTGTTCTTCCTGAATCCAGCCAGCCAGCCTGTTCCGGTTGTAATTTTGCATCCACCACATCCTTTAGTCTCTCCAGGATGATGTGGTGCAACATTTTGCTTGCTTTGGGTGGACAAGAGCATGATTCCTAGCCAATTCTTGCAAAGACTTTTGTCTCCCTTCTTTGGAAGTTTTACAGGGTAGCCCTCCTTCCAATCAATTGGCAGGTACCTTTGTTTCCTTCCTTCCAAATCTTCTGCAACAGTGGTGTAAGCGTTTCCGCTGTTGTCTCTGCGTCTGCATCCAGTGCTTCTGGAGGATTTCCAACTGGTCCAGTTGCTTTCCTGGATTTCAGCAACTTCATGGAGTTCAGGACTCCAGCTTTTATCGGAGGGCTTGTGTTCACTGATAGTTCTGTTGCTGGGTTGTTGGTTGTATTTCTGGATGAGTTGCGGGTGGTGGTGGTAGATTCAAGAGTTTTTTGAGGTGGTCAGCGGATTGTTTTCTTTGTTCCTCCTCTTAGGTAACCAAGTTTTCTTCATTATCTTTCATTTGTTTCGTTTGCGTTGGTCTCTTTCCAGATAGTAACCTGGTTATTTGATATAGCGTTGTCAGGTCCCTGTCTCTCCTACCTGCAGCAGCCTGATCCGCTTCCCTTGCTAATGTGTAGTAGAAGCACCTTTTGTCTTTGCGCGCACTCTTCTTCACTTCTTTGTTCCGTGTAGTGCATTATATGTTGCGTTCAGTTCCTCTTTTCTTTGTTCATCCCTGCACCGCACTGGTCCATCTTCCGCCTCACCACCTGCCTCTCATCTATTGGCCTTCATGTACCCGTGCAGATCCATTCCTTGTCTTGCTTCTCCTTCGTCTTAGTACGATTATTTAGGTTTC